CTAAATCCCAAGCAAGTGAAATAAGATGAGTGACCAGTTCATCCAACAACAAGCATAAATCAATTGGCAAACATGTGATCAAAAGCAAACATTCATAAATAAAAATATTATCAAATACAAGATAATTTCAAAGTATTTTACATCTCACTTAAACACTTAAGAGATTTATCTTCTCATAATGGATGGAATGAAGTTAATACATGGAAGAAAGTCCACCTCCTAATCCTCTAATAATGTTCTTTAAAATACAAAGGAAGTGTGTGAGAATACTTTCTAAAGTCTCTCTCTAAATCTCTCTAAAAGAGCCTCTCAAAAGTTCTCCAAAGAGCTCTCCAAAAAGTTTTATAAAATAGGGGTAAAATCTTTTTTTTATAGACTTCTGATAGTGTGACTTCAGCGGTGGCTTCCATGGCTCCAACCTTGAGGTTTCCTCCTAAGGTGGGTTTCCTTTATGGCTTAAGTTATGTGTTTCTAGGTTGGAGCCTTCCTTAGATTACTTCTAGGTGAAGGATTCTTCATGGCTTGATGGGGGTAAAGTTGGGTTGTGATTTTTATGTTCACTAGGCTTAAGTCCCATAATCCTCAATATCACAGAATATCAAGTTTTACAAGATTTATCTACCTATATGACCTATTCGTGAGTGCACCAAGCCATTTGTATTATAATCGAATTGAGGATATCGTATCCACGGAGATCTAGAAAGCATATTGGTAGTTTGTTTTTGGGTTTCTACATTTGGAAAAATTGATAGTAGTATATATTATATAGATTGAGTGAAGTAGATGATATGAGTGGATTTCATCTCATGCTCTTCCACTGCACTACTATTGATCTTGTCTATGTACTTACACAAATCCTTCCTTGTCTTGGGAGTGCTCTTTAAATACAACTATAGGCTCATTCTTAGCACCTAAAGCCTAAGTTCATCAAACATTAGTATAATCCCTTAGTGATTGTTTGGATGAATCACTTGTATTAAGATCTTTACTCTGTAACCAACTAGAGCCTTAGATCTATTCATAGCATCTAAAAACAGTAGGAGAATTAGTTGGACCACAACTTCAAACTAGTTCCTACTTAATCACAACCAAATGAAATACGATGAATAATCAGTTCATCAACTAACAAGCATTTATTAATTCACAAATAGATTGAATAAAACCATAAATAAATATCCAAGAAGTAGAAGTATAGAGAGTTAAAATTGATTATATCCAACCTCGATATGAGAGAGTTTAGTTACTCATAGAATTGCAATGCAATCCCAAGAGCATCTAGACATAAGATTTACAATAAAGAATCTCTCTTGAGCCTCACAAACCTATTCTTACTCTTCTAGTACATATTTGATCCTCCACTCAATGCCTAAAATAAGGACATGAGTTATGTGTTTATAAATTGTCCAGGGTGGTTCTTAGCTCCAACTTTGGTGCTTGAGCCGCAAAGGTTTTATTCCATACCTTTCCATATCATCTTTCTTAGAGATTAAGGTTCAAATTTTAGGCTCAAGTTGTAAAAGTTACATTTCATATCTTTCCAAAGGTAGGTGCTTAAGGTTTTCTCCTCATAAGGGTTTTCTCTTATGGCCTAAGCCTTATCCTCTGGTGCTCCAACCCTTGAGATAAATTCTTTAAGAATAAGTCTTAATGGTTTAGCCTCATGTTTAGTGCTTAACGTTTTTGTTGTCAATGGGTTTGCTTGTGTGGCTCAAGTTCCAACTCTGCTGCTAAACTACACCAATATTAGTTTTGCCCAAAATAGCTTAAATTTCATCCATTTTCTTTATTTTTCCACTTTGACTCTCTATTGATATCAAGAATTGCAAATCAAACTAAATAAGGGTGCATCAATCATAATCTAAACAAATAAAAATAAGATAGGTGTCAAAATTATCTTAAAATTCATTTAAATTTAGGACTTATCAATGCCTAACTGTCCAAATATGACTTTTAAATGGGAAAGGTGTAATTCTTAGGACATGTGATATTAACTCATGGGATATCCATGGATCCACCCAAGGTAGAGGCAATGTTGTAGTAGGAGAGACCTAAGAATGCATCAAAGACCTACATTAAATACCTACACCAAATTCGTGAAAAGCAAAAAACCAATTTGCGCATCAGCCTCTACCATCACACACAACCATTGTGCCATGAAAAACGTGCACCCAGAAAATCCTTCTTCGCGATCTCTAGAAACCCCTAATTCTCCATTAAACCTGCAGGAGAAAACCCCATAAACAACACGCCTTCTCCTTCAACCTTCGAACAACATCGTGAAACCGTCCTCACGATCCAACTTCGCGTCTTCACGAATCACGAGTTCATCTTTTCCTTCGTGAGCCTTGCACCTACAAGAAGAGAAATCAAGAAATCTATATCCAGAATCACACAACCATCACACCTTTCCTCTTCCTCGTGCCATTAGATTAAAGAATCCTGCCTCGAGCTGCTATAGTCGCGCGATAGCACCTTTGTTGTTCAATTTCAATTTGAAACCCTAGTTTGGGTGAGAAAGGGGTTACCACGTGGCATGTGGCATTCCCTCATTGGTCGCATCCACCTTGAGTCAAATCTGGTCAATAAGTCTTCCTTGGTCAAACAAATTAACTTTTGTCAACTAAAGGGCTTCTGAGCAATTTTGGAAAAGAAAGGAGGGGCTAAAGTGTACATAAAGGAAATTTTTGGGACTTCTCTGCAATTTTGGAAAATTAAGAGTAATTTGTGTTCAATTTAATCCTTTTTGTAAACGCCGTTTAAATCGTTAACGGCCAAATGTACAATTGTGCAATCAGTGACACATCACCCTTGACATGTCACATCATCTCCTACCTCTAAAAACCCTAATTTCTCCTTACACAGAAACCCTAGCCACCACATAACCATAACCGTCGCCGACGACCAGCCACCATCTTCGCACCTCCATCATCAAAAATTTCGAAACCTAACTAGATGGTCGCGTCACCACCACTGTTGTTCATCTTCTCCGTCCAACAACCACCCAAAAACACCACCATGACCATCTTCCCTTTCCTCCATCATGAATTGCCATCAACATCTTGTCGTGACAACCATGACCGCTGCAACGAGATAGCGAGCCAAGCACGAGCTCATCTTCTCCATCAAGTCTTCAACCTACAAAAGGAAATACAAAGAATGAAAAAGCCAATTGGAACAGAATCGCCGCCACAAAAGCGTCATTCTCCATCAATCTTCATCTTCTCTAGCCATCACGAAGTTGCTCTTCGAACCTGCAAGTAGAAAGAAACCAAAGAAACCAAATCGCAGACAAGCAACCACAAGATAGATTCGAATCGCGACGCTCCTATATTTCGAAACCCGTTCAGTTTTCCTCTCGTGGTGCAGGCGGAAGGAAGCCTTTTCCCCTTGCATTCAGAAACCCTAAATTTGTGGGTGGTGGAGGGGCTGCCACGTGGAAGTCTCTCATTGACTGCGTCATGTTTCAGTCAAGGCAAGTCAGTAGTTAAATGNCTAAATCCCAAGCAAGTGAAATAAGATGAGTGACCAGTTCATCCAACAACAAGCATAAATCAATTGGCAAACATGTGATCAAAAGCAAACATTCATAAATAAAAATATTATCAAATACAAGATAATTTCAAAGTATTTTACATCTCACTTAAACACTTAAGAGATTTATCTTCTCATAATGGATGGAATGAAGTTAATACATGGAAGAAAGTCCACCTCCTAATCCTCTAATAATGTTCTTTAAAATACAAAGGAAGTGTGTGAGAATACTTTCTAAAGTCTCTCTCTAAATCTCTCTAAAAGAGCCTCTCAAAAGTTCTCCAAAGAGCTCTCCAAAAAGTTTTATAAAATAGGGGTAAAATCTTTTTTTTATAGACTTCTGATAGTGTGACTTCAGCGGTGGCTTCCATGGCTCCAACCCTGAGGTTTCCTCCTAAGGTGGGTTTCCTTTATGGCTTAAGTTATGTGTTTCTAGGTTGGAGCCTTCCTTAGATTACTTCTAGGTGAAGGATTCTTCATGGCTTGATGGGGGTAAAGTTGGGTTGTGATTTTTATGTTCACTAGGCTTAAGTCCCATAATCCTCAATATCACAGAATATCAAGTTTTACAAGATTTATCTACCTATATGACCTATTCGTGAGTGCACCAAGCCATTTGTATTATAATCGAATTGAGGATATCGTATCCACGGAGATCTAGAAAGCATATTGGTAGTTTGTTTTTGGGTTTCTACATTTGGAAAAATTGATAGTAGTATATATTATATAGATTGAGTGAAGTAGATGATATGAGTGGATTTCATCTCATGCT